AATGCTCTAAAGCATAGCTCAAAACATGAGAAAATAAAGCATGCAAGGGGGTAGATGACCCCCAACAAAAAAATGGTCTTAAACAAACATGTTTAGAAGATCAAAGCAAGACTTTTTTCAGTTTATGAAAAATCCTAAATATGCTTGCAAATAGAGCTAAACTATGAAGCAAAACAATGTCAAAAGGAGGGAAATGGAGTGTTACCCTTGTAGCCAAAGGAACCAGTAACTTCTGGACCAAGATAGCAAGTCTTCAACCTCTGAAAATGAGCTCCAAGGTGCTTGGATGGATGATGGAGAGGTTAGGCTAAGAGGTGTAGTGCAATGGTGCAAGAAGAAGGGACCTTTGGAGCTAAAATGGAGAGAAATAGGGAGGGAAGTGTATGTATGCCTTGAAGCAAAATTCTGAACCCTAGCAATGGAAGAGGGCCCTTTCCTTTATAGAGGAGAAGGTCTAAAGCTTCTCAAAGAAGCTTAAAAGCTAGCTTAAACATCCTCCATACACGTGTATGAAGGATGCATTCTGAGGCTTCCAGCTAGCACAGTTGGCTTCAACTCATTGAGACAAAAAAGCAGAAAGCTAGCCGACCAGTTCAGGTGGTCGGCCGACTACTCCCCCTGGTCGGCTGACCAAGGGTCAAAAGGTTCAAGCAAAAAAGGTGGTCGGCCTACCCATATTGGTGGTCTCCCAGGTGAATGCAACTCAGTGGTGGTATGGGAGACCAGAAATTGTGGCTCAAAAGTGAAGGAGACCACTTACCTGTCAAGAAAAACTGGCCGACCAGGGAAAGGTGGTCTCCAAGAAGAAAAGGTGGTCTCCCACCCTACTACCACCTTCCTAACAATGAAACTATGGTCCATGCCAAAAATGAACCCACACTGATGCGAAACGAAGGTTCGGGGGCCAAAATGCACAGCCGGGGGCCCCGAAAATTGGCTATTAAGCATCAAAAGTGGCGTGCGACCACGAAGGTGGTCTCCCGGGCCACAGTGTCCCTCTAAGGAGAGGAAACAAGGTGTGTGCCAAAAATCGGAGCAAACGGAGGTAGTTAAGCGGTCCCGAACCGAGGCACACGACCGACAACTCCGAAAATCGAAAACTGGTCTCCAAACGGGAAAAATGGCCTACAACCACGAAACGTAGCCTACGTCCACTGAGAGATGGTCTACGAAACCTCTCCCTTCCTTTAAGAAGAGAAAACACAGAAAACAGGACCTGGTTTGCAAACCGAGACAAGGCACGAAAAGGTTCCGAAGCTCGGAGGCAAGGCTCTCAGCCGAGACTTTGCAACCGCAAAACGAGCACAATATGAAACATCACCGAGCGCTCAGTTGGTGACGTCTGAGTCTTAAGGTCGGTCAAAAATTGGGTGTTTACACTGGTACACTCTGATACCAAGTTATAGACTTTTGGCATTGTCTCTTTTGCTTTTCTAGAGGAATTAACCTATACTAGCATATCATAGGTGATGTTGAGTCTCTTAATCATCTTCCATCTTTTTACATCTCCACGGCTTTTCCCTCAGTTCTTTGTAATTAAGGCATGAGGAAAAGGCTACCTCAAAGTCACCAACCAGGCTATCCTTATTGTATCCATGCTTCTCTGGTTCGGTTTCTATACTCTTGAGCATGTCAACCGCCAATGAGTTTGTAAAAGAAAGAAAGAAAGAAAAATGTGCACAAGAAAGAAAAGAAAAAAAAAATGTGCAAAAGAAAGAAAGAAAAGGAAAAAATGTGCAAAAGAAAGAAAAAAAAAAGATTCATTGATTGAAGAGAGCCTCCGCTTTTACTCACCAAATACCCCGTGATTCCTAGTGGTTTGACTTTCCTTAGTTGTGCTTAGATTCTCTTGCCGAAGGTGATCACTACTAGGATTTGAATCTTGTGTTTGTCGAACTCCAAGAGTCACACACACACTTTTATCATGGGATCTATGCTTTTCACATAATACATCACTTTCTTTCATGAGAAATCTTCTATAGGAAGTGCATATTGTGTTTTCATGTAATTGTATTTCTTAGATAATCTTGTGTGTTTTTAAGGTACAAATATGAAATTCCTTGCTTGCTTTACCATATTTTATTTTTTATTTTTTTCTTCTTGTTCACTGTTTTTAGTGTTTGTGGTTGCTTTTAGTAAAAGGGAGTTTGGTTCATCTTGGATTGGTTTGGTAAGGGAGTTTGGCATTAGTTGGTTTGTGTGTTGCTCTCCACTACTTGTTTATTGCTTACTTCTCGTAGGTTATTAATTTTTTCATCATCTTGTCCCTACTTGTGTGTCGGGTGTATGTGTCTTAGTTTTTATGTTTTCATGCTACATGTTCGTAAAATCTCCAATTTATATCTATTCATATTTCCATCTCATGCTTCAAGATAATCTTGTCATATGTCTATTACTTTTTCATATACTCTTGTGGCACTAATAGTTGTTTTGGAGATTATATCTATTCTTATTTCCATCTCATGCTTCAAGATAATCTTGTCATATGTCTATTGCTTTTTCATATACTCTTGTGGCACTAATAGTTGTTTTGGAGATTGTGGCACTAATAGCTATTTTGCAGATCATGACCTTGAGAGAGAAGTTTGTTTGTGTTGGCTGTAATGGGTTGGGGTGATTAGGATTTTATTTGTTAGGTGTGTTTTGTCATGGCATTACCAAAGGAGGAGATTGTTAGGTTTTTATTCATGGCAATCCCGTTTGACAAAACTCCTTTCAGTTGTAATTTTATTCGATCTTTTATTTCAGTGAGACTATGAGTTTTAGATGCGAATCCAACCCGAATTGTGCCTATGCAGAGGAGTATGTGATGTTTATTCTTTCATGTTTCCCACTTCATTGACTTTGTCGAGGATCGAGCTACTCGGTCAGCTTGTGGGGGTCCAAGGGGCAGTGCCCCTTGGTGGGTCCGAGGCAGCACCCAGGCAAAGTCGAGGGGCAGCGTCCCCGAAACAAAAGAAAAAAATGCAGTCGAAGTTGCTTGTCTGCTTGAGCATCCAATTGTGCGCTCGAGCGGAGAACGTGTGGTTCCAAAAGTTTGACCTATCTACAAAAGTATTGGAAGTTGGGATTTTACACTCAAGCAAACTTTCCTGAGCTTGAGCAAGGTCTGCTTGAGCGGCCATTCTTGCGCTCGGGCGGAGATCGCAGATTAGTTTTCTATAAATATGTGGTTTCATCCGTTTTTAGGGTTACTGCTTCCAGATCTTCTTCTTAGATATTAGGGTTTATATCTGGAGCTTCTTTGCTAGTTTCTTTGATGTTTGTTTGAGTTTAAATCTGGTTTGAAAAGTATACATCAAAGGATTGTTTGTTTATTCTATACAAAAGAGAGAGTTGTTCCTTGGTGGATTCCGTAGAATTTGGGCCTGCAATTTTGGTGGATTCTGGAGTGGCTTATCGTCGTGGATTTGACTTCGGCATTGTGAATTCTATGTTGGGCAAGACGATTCTGAGGTGAAAACCGTAGTGGAAGAGGCATATAGGAGTCGGTTCAATTCGAGCGTGGATTCGCTAGGCAATTGAAAGTGCACTTGTGTAATTCCTTTTGTCTTCTTAGTGGATTGTTTTGTGACTTTTGCCCGTGATTTTTTTATCACAATTGGAGGTGTTCCAATTGTAGTTTTTCCACGCTAAAATCGTTGTGTCAATTTGTCTAATTGTTTGATTGTGATTGTTATTTACTACTTAAAATTGATACATAATCACAAATCAATATCTAGGAAATTACTAGGTTTTTCAAATGTATAATTTCGAAAAATCAGTGCCGAAATCCCCAAACCGAAAAACATAAAAAAAAAATTCAAAAAAACAAGGGTTTTATGGCAATGGAGTGCACAGAGATCTAAAAATAGTAAATGCAATAACAAAATGGAAAGATGCATCATCTTCAACAATATTTTGGAGGATTTTCAATGATGTTTTTAATGGAGGTTCAATAGGATCTTCAATAGAGAACTTTGTCTTCACTTCACACTATAGTCTTGAATGGTCTTCACGTTGGTCTACAATGGAAAGATGGAAAGATGCATCATCTTCAACAATATTTCGGAGGATTTTCAATGATGTTTTTAATGGAGGTTCAATAGGATCTTCAATAGAGAACTTTGTCTTCACTTCATACTGTTGTCTTGAATGGTCTTCACGTTGGTCTACAATGGGTCTACAAATCTGGAAGTAGGGTCACTTAACAAGTGTGTGGAAATGAGAGTTGAGTGGCGTATGTACAATGATTATAAGTGAAGTGTATAATTGTAACTTTCAGTGAGTGGATTAAGAAAATTAATTAATAATCAAATTAATAAATGTGTGTACTGAAAGAAGATATGTACTGAGGTAATTAAGTGTGTGAAAATAAAATTTCTCCTCATTTTCTATCTCTCAAAACAAATAAAAACTATAACTAATCCAGTAGTTATCAAACAAACATAATTTTTCTTAATTCTTTTAGTAACAGTCCTCTCATCAACAATCGCACCAGACCTTCTGAATACAAACAGACCTTAATTCCCTACTCATAATCATAGCAAAGTGGAAATTTATTTCTTTTTGGTATTTATACAGGTATTGGTTTTCGATTAAAATTGCTTCGAAGATAATTTCTTTTTTTGGAGGCAATGAAAAGTTCAAGACACTCATTGAAGTATCATTTTCAAACAAAAATATTTTAAAAAAATTTAAAAACCAATTAAAAATAGGGAGAAACTCAACCTGCGCAAGTATCTTAAAAAGAGCCACCTCCATAAATCAATTAATTACAAAAAATACCGTGTAACAAAGAAAAATAAACAGGTGCATAGTATACTCAAAAAAAAAAATTATGTATAGCTGCATCGCATCAACTTTAAACAACTTAAACAAATTCTAGACATTTGAGATATAACTCTTTTTTTTAAAAATTTTATTTTAGCATAAGTAGCTCTATCACGCATCATCTTTCCTCGTGTAACACAATAGTTACAAAATTCACATGAAAGCAAATGAAGACCAAAATCCCAATAAATTCGAATTATCTTAGCATATTATTATTTCCATATTACAACATCCCTTGCCAGCAAATAAAGGTTTTAAATATATATTCAAGGACAAAACCAATAACCAAAAAAACAGCACTTAAAATTGCTGGCCTTATAATACTAAAATTCCGCAGACAATTGACAGAAACAAAAGGATGAGACATAAGAGGAACTTCTGAGAATCTTGCTATAATCTGGAACAAAATCCAAGTAGCATATTTCAACTGAGCACCAAAAATGCGTCGCTCTCAAAATCATTGCAAACAACTGTTGGAATAAATCAGCATCTTCTCGTAGGGCTAATCTATTTTTTTCAATTCATACAGCGGCTGGAATTTTAGGACTTATCGAATTCAGCACCTCTTCGCCCATGTCCTTGCATCCAACCAATTTCTGAAACACAAGAATTGACCATATAAAGACCAAAAAAATAATAATAATAACATTTGAAAGAAAAAAAAAAAATTTGTTTGCTACTAACCATAAACAATTTTAAAGCTTATAAAACAAAAGTTTCTATAGCTGAAATATAGAAAGAAAGAAACATTATACATTTGAACATTTATGAATGGTCCACAAAAGAAAAAAACAGAAGTATAGAAATATGCATACGTTTCCTTCCGAATATATATCACCAGTGCGAAAGCCCCTATTCAAAGTATCCAACACTGCAGTCTCAATTCTCTGAGAGGCCTTCTCTTCCCCTAAGCCATACTTCAAAAGCATGGCAGCACTGAGCACTGTTGCTAAAGGGTTTGCTTTATCCTGCATATTAGACCCCCATAGTCTATAAACATTCATTACTGTTCAAAAATAAATAAAAGCATTTATTTATTTTCAGTGGAAAGAAATTGAACTGTTGTGAATTGAACCTGTCCAGCAATATCAGGAGCAGACCCATGTATGGGTTCAAATAATCCAGGTCCCTGCAGATGAATAATTGCCAAAAATGGAGAAAAACAATTCTTCAACCACAAAATATCTACAAAGAATTTGTTTGAAGTAAAGATCCAAAAACTAAAATCTTGTAAAGAATGTGAGTGATTGCCAATACCGCTTCACCAAGACTAGCAGATGGAAGCAGCCCAATGCTTCCTGTGATCATTGAAGCCTCGTCCGATAAAATATCACCAAATATATTGTTCGTTATGATTGTGTCAAACTGCAATATTTTATAGTTTGAGATTTAAGACCTCCAATTTCATCAATGTGGTATGCATGAGCTGTGTATAGAGTGAATAGAGAAATTACACAAAACTTCCACAAAGATGAGACAAACCTGTTTTGGATTACAAACAAGCTGCATTGCAGCATTGTCAACATACATGTGGGAGAGTTCAACATCAGGGTACTCTGAGGATATCGCCATTACTCTTTGCCTCCAAAGCATTGATGCCTGGTCAACATCACAAAAAAATGAAACTTAAAAAATATGGGACTATAGTTCAAATTTTATCCTCATTTATTTACCAGTATTATTTACTTTCCAGAGAAGGGAAGATGATCTTTAGTATTTATGCATAAGTTGCATTAAACAACATGAAAAGGTATATTTATAGAGCCTCTAAATTGGTGGGCACAAGTTGCATTAAACAAACCATCTTTTTCTTTTTTCTGTGTAGTCTGAGTACATCGCAACAAAATTTTACTTTTAAGAGAAAAGAGGATGCAAGATGAGAGAAAGACATTACCATTTGAAAAATCTAGAAATTCCCAACATGAAAAGGTATATTTATAGAGCCTCTAAATTGGTGGGCACAAGTTGCATTAAACAAACCATCTTTTTCTTTTTTCTGTGTAGTCTGAGTACATCGCAACAAAATTTTACTTTTAAGAGAAAAGAGGATGCAAGATGAGAGAAAGACATTACCATTAAAAAATAAAAATAAAAATTTCCCTCCAACATAACTCGCTATAGGAGAGAGTCCCTTATTGGCCACACTCAGTTTAATAAATATAACTCCTCATCATTACCAACTTCACTAGAGCAGCATCAGTAGCATAAGTTTTCAACATTTTTAAGGTAAAACAGAAGAAAATAAGTTCTTAATCATATAAAGAGAAACTCACCAACAAATCTCGAAAGGTCATTTATTACTATATCTCAAACTGTTGCACAAATCAGCCAATCATACTTCTTTTTCTCTTTCTTTAGGATGCACATGATACTGGAATTAAACTATTGAAGTAAAATTCTCAAGTGACACCTTAAAATAAAAAGAGATTCCATAATATATGAAAAAAATTAAACATAAATTAAAACAGGGGTAATAGAAGAACTCTATTACTATCTAGATACCTCCAAAACATTTGCTTTATCAACAGAACAGAGTTTCCTACCCCGCTTCCGAGCAGTCTCAAATGCAACACGAGCAATACGATCAATCTGTCAAGAAATAATTTTCACATCAAATAAGAGATTATGCAGAAAAATTACAGAAAATACAGAGATGGTGGGTTGTGGTTTGGGAGATGAAAGTAAATTCTGGCATTTGCATGGAAGTTAGTAAAAAGGAAGTTGTATAAAAAAACTACCTCGTAGGTTGCATAGACCTCAGTGTTGAAACCAATCTCATCACCATTTTCATTTGTGCCAAACCCCCTTGGTTTTCCAAAATAAATACCTATATTCAGGAAAAAAGAGTAGCATAACAATCCATAAAAAATAAAAATGCAAACAAACAAACAAAGAAAAGACGACAAATAGAGCTGCAGAACATTCAACCAGAATGACCTTAACTGAGATATAAGTACACTAACCTCCTGTAAGCTCCCTCACTACCATAAGGTCAACACCTTCAGCAACCTCTTTCTTTAAAGTTGAAGCATCCACTAACTGGAACAGGAAAAAACAGAGAATGAGCACGTAAAAAGTGCAAAACAACATCTAGCATTATTTCATGGACACATTATTGCATAGAAACAAACAAGTGTGATAACAAAACTAGCAAGAGATACAGAAAGATAAGCTTTAAATCTAAACTAAACTAAGTCAATGAGTCATTTGTACCACAGGATTCTTTGTTGTTAATTAAAATACTAGTTTACTTTGATAGAAGTATACTGCATAGACATGAGTAGAAAATTAGCCACAATTAATAACCATCAACTGAAAAGATTGACAAATAAACTTACCATATCTGTCTGCACAACAATAACTCATATCTTTGCTCGAAAATAATCCAACATATACTGAATAGTATATTAAAAAATGTAGGAAGCATAAGGTTTGGGGGTTTATGATGTTCATACGCATAAAAACAACAAATAAATAGATCTTTTCGGGAAAATTCATAACAAAGTAGTGGGGTTCCAGATAGAATTCAAAATAACCAAGTGTGGGGTTCCAGAAACAATTGATAACCAAGTGTGAAACACATCTACCTTTTTATGTTGAATTTTATTGTGTTATGAACTTATTAGGGTGCCATTTTGTGGTTATTATGGCACACTTTTGATAACTAATTGAAAAGTTTTATGCAAATGTAGGTTGTTTTTATTGATTGATGAACTGAATAAGGATACAATGGAAATGAGCTTCATTGATCAAATGAAGCCGAGATCTTCATTTGATCAACTTCAGCAATGCCAGGAAGAGTCATGAGTTTGTGCCTCACATAGGCAGTGAAAAACTTGGGCCTGAACTACCACAGCCAAATGGAGACTTCACCATTATCAAATCCCATAGTGAACTAACTCAACTTGGTATTTTCTTTTTGCAGAAACCTATTGTCTTTGACCAAAGACATTTTACAGATTTTTAGTAACAAGAAGTTATAGCTGTGTACCCAACACAACGATACTAGATATACAAAATTTTGAATGGCTTGAAGAACTATACAAGCCCTCATTATGCATAAAACTTTGGATAGAGAAAAAGAATGAAATTCACAGCTGAAATTCATTTGATTTATTCACTAATTACAAAACATAACCAAAATTTGAAAACATTTAGAATTTAGGGCAAGCGTTTAGAAATCTGCCCAACTTAAGTGTAATAGGCCATATTTACCTGTGGCAGAACACAAGCTGGCCTCAGATTTGCAAAGACCTTAAGACCTTCCCGCAGCTGAAGTAATCCAATCTCAGGCTTGAAATGCTTTTGGTTTTTATCCCATTTATACCTGCAAAACCAAAAAAATATGTATCACATAGACTGAAAATAAAAATTTAGAACCAAATGACTCATGAGATAATAGCAAATTATGTGAGAGGCAATGAAATGCAGTCACCCTCCAATTGCGCCAAGCAGAACAGCATCGGATTGCTTTGCAGCCAAAAGGGTCTCCTCCGGCAGTGGAACTCCTGTCAAATCCAAGGCAGCCCCACCCACAGGCATTTCCTTGAACCCAAATTCAATCCCTAAAATAAGATGCCAATATCTTACTGTTAAACCCTAAACCCTGAATGTTAATAACTCTGTTTGGTTTCTTTTTTTAAAAAAATAAAAAAAGGAAAAAGTTTGAAGCGTAAACTCTTCACTGTTGATGACCTTTAGAACAGCATTCACCCAAATTCAATTCAATATAAGATATCAATTATATCTTACTACTAAACCCTAAACCCTGGAAAATAACAACTCTGTTTGGTTTGTGAAATAAGTAAGAAAAATTTTAAGCATAAACTCTTCACTGTTGATGACCTCTAGTCCACCAAGAAATTGAGATTAATAAATCAGTTATTTTCCTATCTTTCTCCTCTATTTTCTCAGCAACCGAACAAGAAATCAAGTTGGGGTTTTTGAGACAAGGGTTTACCTTCGAGAGAGCCTGTGAGCTGGAGGACGTTCTTGGCAACGGAGATGACTTCAGGGCCAATGCCATCATCTGGAAGCAGAGTGATAATATAGTGTCGTGTGGGTGTGGCAACGGAGCAGCGAATCGTAGCGAATTTGGTGGCGTGTTTGGATAGAGGTTTAGAATTGAACTTTTGGAATCTGAAGGTTCTCACATTGAGTTGCAGAGAAGCCTCCATTGTTGATTAGAGAGAGAAATGAGAATGTTCGGGACAGAAAAACACTGAGAAAACCCTGAAAAAGACAAAGAACTGTTTGGTTGGGCTTTAATAAAGCTTTGTTTGGTTGCGAAACGAAAATAATCTTGCCAAACAGCCCCTAAATGTCGTCCTAGTCCTCTGTTTCTCTGTCTCTGTAAAACCCTAAAAAGCAATCAAACAACAAACACGATCAATATGCTCTCTTCTCGGTGCCAATCCCTTCGTTTACCTCAATCTCTTCTCTCTCAAGTTCAAATTTTTCTTAGTTTTCACTCTCACCCACCACGAAATCCATATTCTTCTTCAAAACCCAAGTCTTGTTCTGATCAAAACAATCCAAAATCATCATCGAACTCTGTACTTCACAGCAACTCGTTTCATAAACCCTCTACCACATCCAATTCAATCGATTTCGATCAAAACACAGTTCTCGAAACACTCTCGTGTTACAACAATGATTGGAAACGCGCCTTCGAGTTCTTCAACTGGGTTGATTCCGAGTTTGGTTTCGAACACTCCACCGAAACCTTCAATCGAATGATTGATATTTTGGGTAAGTTCTTCGAATTCGATCTTGCATGGAATTTAATTGAAATAATGCGAAAAAATGTTTATTCAATTCCAAACCATGCCACATTTCGAGTTCTTTTCAAGCGCTATGTATCAGCACACCTTGTTGAAGAAGCAATAAGCACTTATTATCGAACAGAAGAGTTTAATTTGAAAGATGAATTGTCTTTTTCGAATTTTATTGATGCACTGTGTGAGTATAAACATGTAATTGAAGCTGAAGAAATGTGCTTAGGGAAGAATAGTAACAAGGACTTTGATTTGTATGTGAACACAAAGATATATAATATGATCCTTCGCGGGTGGTTTAAAATGGGGTGGTGGAGTAAGTGTAGAGGGTTTTGGGAAGACATGGATCGAAAGGGCGTTTGTAAAGATTTGCATTCGTATTCGATATATATGGATATACAATGCAAGAGTGGGAAGCCATGGAAGGCTGTGAAATTGTATAAAGAGATGAAGAAGAAGGGGATTGAATTGGATGTGGTGGCATATAACACGGTTCTTCATGCTATGGGCCGCTCAGAAGGTGTTGATTTTGCAATTAGGCTTTATCGCGAGATGATGGAATTGGGTTGTGAACCTAATGTTGTAACTTACAATACGATTATAAAGCTTTTGTGTGAAAATGGGAGAGTTAGGGAAGCATATAAAATGCTTGATCAAATGCGTGTGAAGGGTTGTGCACCGAATGTGATAACTTATCATTCCATTTTTGGGTACCTTGAAAAGCCTAGGGAGATTCTTAAGCTGTTTGATGGGATGATGGGTAATGGAGTGAGTCCGAGGATGGACACATACGTGATGCTTATGAGGAAATTTGGGCGATGGGGTTTTCTTCGACCAGTTTTTGATGTGTGGAAGAAAATGGAAGAGCATGGCTTGAGTCCAGATGAGCATGCTTACAATGCTTTGATTGATGCTTTGGTGCAGAAAGGTATGGTTGATATGGCTCGGAAGTACGATCAAGAGATGCTGGAAAAAGGGCTTTCAGCTAAACCAAGGGCAGAGTTGGGGACAAAGCTGGCGAGTGGAGGATCTGAAGATGGTTGATTCTGATGTGCAGGTTTCTCTGAGGTTGGATACTTTCAAAATGCAGGTTTCTCTGAGGACCTGAATCCAGACTATTCTTCTCACCCAGATTTTGTTGTTTGGAATCAAGTGGGAGTTAAATGTGGACAATATCTCATTTAAGCTGAAGTTTGGTTCTCCTTCAAAAGAAGACATTTTAGAAGGAAAAAATTTAACAGAGTGAGCTTCCGGTTGGACATGCTGCAGAACACATTATACTTTCTCTTTGTGCTGTATCCAAAATGGAAGAGACCATACTGAGTAAGAAACATATGAGGCAAAGGTTGGTGTCACTATTGGTAAGTAAATCCCAAGTCTCCAACTTATTTTGTCATCCCATTAATGATTAAGGACTCGTTTGGGAACCCTCCCTTTTAGCCAAAAAGGCATCCCAAATATACTAGTTTTTTTTAGCTCATATTTTAGCCAAATAGCCAAAAAGTTACTAAATTAGCCTGTTCCCAAACGAGGCCTAAGTCTCTGTGTGTTCATTTTTATGGTAGGTATATATGTTCTTATCTGATTGTTTTTGGAGATGAAAATTTCTAAATTCTAATAAACATTGGAGCAAATCTCATGTTGTTTGAAATGAAATGATCAAATTTATTTTTCTTTTATCAATCTGCATGTATGAAAATAGAAAAAGGTTGTAGAGTTATGTTAAGGGAGAAGTATTGAAGTTGGTAGCTAAGAATATGATGTGTGTATGTGCATGCATATTCTGAATTTTCATGATATTATGCACATATATGGAATATGGTTATTGTGGCAAATTTTTTTATTGAAATTTGTTAATGGCTATAATGATCCGCTGCTAATTAGTTGGTCTTGTTTCTAATACTTCGCTGTATTTTTTAGTGATGTTGCTTTGTCTTGTTAACGTCATTAGATGGTCAGAGAATTAGTGGGTGTTTAAATCCATCAAATAATGGCAATTATGATGCATTGTCAATTAGTTGGCCTCTTTCTTTTTTGGAATACTTCTCTGTATTTTTTAATGGCATTGCTCTTTCTTTGATCTCGTTCAGAGAATAGTGGGTGTTTAACATACTCATGGTGTTTAGAATTCATCTAAACTAATAATATGCATCAAACCATTAATATCTACCCTTCACAGGAATTTAAACTTACAAAATGAACTTATACAGGGGGAAATTTTAAAAAAAAAAAAAAAAAGGAGAGAGAGACAGAGAGACAACAAAATGAACTGAAGCTTACGGGGGAAAAAAATAAAAATGAAACAGAACAGTAGAAATCAATTGTCAGTTGCCGATTTTACCTCATGAAAGCAAGAATTTGGAAATTTGTGGAAAATGAAACAGCAATAGATATGGACTACGTTTGTAGAAGATGAGAAAACTAGATTTGGGCTTTGTCATTGACAAACTATTTACCAGTTACTTCGATTTTAAATCAATAACTGAATAATGGTTAAAACTGTAATTAGAAGCAACTTTAGTTAGTAAAAAAAAGTTTGTAAGATTTGTGTGTAACATTTTCCTTCCCAAAACAGAGGTGAGATTCATTATACGATGACTATTACCCATAGAACTTGCCCCTTTCTTTTAACTCTTTAAAACCACCACCTCCTTTCTAATACTTTGTTTTTATCCATTATCACAAATACTTAGCTTTAACATACATTTTATACGGTATTTTAGAATTTATACGAGTTCTGATTTGGTTTTGGGTCAATTAAAGAGCTATTCCCGACAACTTTATCAGTAAATCTTTTTCTGTTAGCAACTGAACATGCTTTAGTCTCTCTTGTGTATAGTTAGATGCTTCTGGGGAATTTTAAGGAGTGCCGGCTCAATCAATTCGTTCTGTTTGTTTGACAAGAAGATACGGGAATGGACATAGAAAACCTGTTATTGTTTATGATTTTTGAGTGTGAACGACTTTTGAAGATCAGAAATTTTAATCTCTTTTCCACGGTCATCTCAAGAGTTACTGCTTCAACAAGAGTTTTCTCCATAACTTTGTTAGACACACTGAGAAATCAAGTGAACATTTACTAGAAGTAGAAGAATTTGTGAATACATACATATATATATATATATATATTTAATCAGTATACCATAAGATTAACCTTAAGCTTCCATGAAGAACATGCATTTGAATCTACAATGGTGAGACAAACCAGTTAAATACTATTTAACAGCCATCATAAACCATTATATTTTGAGGAGGAAAATAACACAATATGTGTGTATAAGTGGGTTGTAACCATTCAAATAAAGGAATAAATTACATCAATTGTTAAAAAGAAAAACTGCTAACAATTTTTTTATGTAATTTAAGTCTCATATTAAAGCACATGAAAAGCACAACATTATGCATTTAATAAACAAGTATAAATTTGCTCTTTAAATGTTCATTCAAAGCAATGGTTACAAACCAACACAGTCAACCATCAAAGTAGATAATATTTTTTATTATTTGATCATCAAATTTTATATTTTGAAATATTTATATAATAGCTAGTGCAAGGCAAATCCATGTTCACTTCCCTTTGGCTTAAAGCCAAAGAGAACAAATGCACATGTATTAATAAAAAAGAGTAGTAATTCTGCAAATCCACCAAAAGTATTACGAGAAGTTTCCAAAATGCTCTCCACCAAGATAAATTCAATGTTGTCTGGTCTTATGTAGAACACAACCACAAAAGCTGACTGTTAAGATGAGGGTGCCCACACACTTATATACTTTACATTACTTTAGTACTTACGTGGTGTGCAACTTTGCTTCACACTGTCACATGGCATTCTGTTAAAAAAATTTGAGTACCTATACTTAAACAAAAAATAGGCTATGTGAGATGAAACAGAAGTTTTTTGACTGGGTTCTCTCTCTTCTTTTTTTTTTTCTTTTTTTTTGTGAGAACATTGTACTGGGTGCTCATTGTTATAGATGTTATGCATTACCATTTATTCTGAATTCCAAAAGGAAAATATATATATGTATATATATATATAATTCACCATAACTCAAGTAGCTTTAATCCCCTTTTCATATCTTTTTTCAAATGCATAGCCATATAGCACGTGTTTACTAATTAACTTTCTGGGCGGGGATTATATGTATTCAGTAATTAGTCTAGACGAAATCCCATACACCTTCGTGAGAAAAAATATAAAAATAATAAAAATAAAAAACCTCATTTATCATGAGGTAGGTAGCATGACACCTATTAAAGTTGTATTGAAGTTGTTCCTTTTACTCCAATAAAAGCTTATTCTCTTTAACTCCCCATCATTCAATAGACCAAAACTGCCACTCCCAAAAGAAACTTCTCCTAAAACAATAGCCATGCCCTCTCTTCAACCCACCATGTCCTCCACCTCTACTACAAATTTCGACGAGCATCAATGGGTCATTCACATGCGCCGAACCCTCAATGAAGAGCTCGAAGAAGACACTGACATTCTCGTCAGCATCTTCAATGTCCCCAAGAACCTCCTAGCTAGCGATCCCGATTCCTACATACCCCAACAAATAGCATTAGGCCCTTACCATTACTGGCGCCCCGAGCTCTATGAGATGGAGAGATACAAGCTTGCCGCGGCCAAAAGAACCCAAAAACACCTCCAAACCATCAAGTTCCAACACCTTGTGGACCAGTTAATGAAGCTTGAGTCAAGGATTCGAGCCTGCTATCACAAGTACCTTGATTTCAATGGCGAAACCTTATCATGGATGATGGCTGTTGATGTGTCTTTCTTGCTAGAGTTCCTTCAAATCTATGCCGTCAAAGAAGGGAAAGTGTTGACTAGAGTTTCGTCGAGGATGTCGCATTTGGTTGACATTGCTGGGAGAAAATCAGCACACAATGCCATTCTGAGAGATATGGTGATGCTCGAGAATCAAATTCCTCTGTTTCTGTTGAGGAAGATGTTGGAATTCCAACTTTCGTCATTAGAATTGGCCGATGCCATGTTGGTGGCTATGTTAATGGGAATGTGTAAAGAGCTTTCGCCATTTAAGACGATGGAAGATCTCCCAAATGTTCAAGTTTCAGAGTCTAGCCACCTTCTACACTTTCTGTACCATGTGATCGTGCCCAAATCAGAAGAACAATCCGAGATTATTGAAGTCGAAGAACAAATCATTGAAGCCATGGAGATCAAAAAAATGCCTTCTGAGAAATCAAGCAATATTAGACAACTGTTTGATGAGGTTTGGAAACACCTCTCGAAGCTAAACAAAGGACTGGTACGCCTAATCAAAAGGGTATTGTTTTCTGGACCTGTCAAAGTTATATTAAGACTTCCATGGACAATCCTCTCTAACCTTCCTGGATTCAAACTCTTGAAACAACCCGTTGAATATTTTTTCTTCTCTGAAAACAAAGAAGACAACCCTGAAAATGAGAATTCAAGCTCAAATAACGCCATTAACAGATCTCCATTGGTTGAGGAAATTACAATCCCATCTGTCACTGAGCTATCCAAAGCTGGTGTCAAATTCCTACCCACGAATGGCAGTGTCTTAACCATTAGATTTGACGTTACAACAGCCAAATTTTATCTTCCCACCGTTAGCTTAGAGGTGAACACGGAAGTGATTATGAGAAACTTGGTAGCATACGAGGCCTGCAATGCATCAGGGCCGTTGGTTTTTACTCGATACACTGAATTAATGAATGGGATTATCGATACTCAAGAGGACGTGAAATTGCTTAGGCTACATCCCGGGATTATTTTGAACCATCTGAAGAGCGATGAAGAGGTAGCTGAGCTATGGAATGGGATGAGCAAGTCTGTCAGGCTGACCAAAGTGCCATTCTTAGATAAAGTGATTGAAGATGTGAACAAGTATTACAATGGTAGATGGAAAATCAAGCTCGGAAAATTCATGAAGTTGTACGTGTTCGGATCGTGGCAGTTTCTCACACTTTTGGCTGCTATTTTGCTCTTGTTGTTGATGACTTTACAAGCATTTTGCTTGGTCTATAGCTGTGCTCGCATATCTCATATAAAAAACATTCAGTGATTTGAATTTTCTTCACAAGATTTTCTGTGCAAAGTTTTCCCAAGAAAATGTGGTCTTGGAGCTTTTTGTCTTTTCCAGGGAATGAGGTTGTAATGATGTTGAGATTGTTTTGATTATTTTTTGTTGGGTGTTTTAATGTGTTCAACCACTCGGGTTGGGACCCTTTTTCAGAATGTGTTTATTGAGCTTTTTCATATATTTAATCAGATTAATGACAATGTTGTATACTCTTTTGATTTGCTATGAATTCTCAAAGCATTGGGCAGCAGAGGGATAATGTAAAATTATTATTTAGATGTAGAGGTAAGAATAATTCTCTAACTTCAAAGTTTTGGCCTTTTAAACAAAAGGAATGTAAAAATAAGGTAATTATATGCCTTTTAAATTTAACTTGCGTTGGAAAAAGATCAAAGAGAATGGTCGGGTAGAGATGACAACAAAACAGTTTTTCTTCAGGTGTTTAGTTCTTTGCCCTAGTCTTGCCCCCAGTCCCACTTTCCATATTGGTAAAAATGAACAACTTTTAAACCATGTTAATTTTGTTATGCACAACGGTCAAAAAAAAAATTAAAAAATCAAGTGCCAAATCAAAATTAGGCCATACTTTTAAATAAAGGAAATCAAAGCAAGGTCCACATTAGGTTCTTAACTTTCTTTTAAATTGCGATTAAGGCAAGAAATTAAACTATCACATTAAAAATGTTAAAAACTTATTACAAATCTATTGTAACATCTTATACATTTATATACTACTTTTGCCATCATCAAATCTATTAAAATGTTGTTCGGAGTTTGTGGGGTTTATTATACATGTCTCGTTTCGATTATTCAAATTCTTTATTTTTTAAGTCACTTTGGACAGATGATTCACACATAAAAATCGAGTTGATCTGATTTACGTAATTTATTACATTTGTCTTCGAATAAAAGAACCACAAAAATAATTTCGAAAATAAACAATACATTTTTTTGAAAATAAATATGCAGCTACACATATCATATCAATCTAATTTTTTTTATAGATGATTTACACAAAGTGTCTTCAACAATTGTCAAACTCTGAGTTTTTCTCTTTATAATTTTTTAATATTTAAAAATACTTTACATATAGTAAATATAATTAAAACAAGAGTAGTTCACCATGTTTTGTTTTTCGTCATAAGTGCTAATAGTCTGTCAGATTCTGTCCCCACACGTGGCAAGATATTTATTGGAGTTGGCGAGGGTAATCCTGAGACCTGAATTGTTGATCCTGATCAGTCTGATCAGTTTTCAAATGCTAAAGAAAATGAGATTCAAGCTTGTTAGGGGTAAGGACAAAGAGTACGTTCGTCACGGGATAGAAGTTGTGGACCAGTTTTTCCCAATTGATATTCGGATGGACTACAAAAATACGCTGTTGGGGAATGTTGGAAGTATTCAAAAGGGTGCCATATATTTAGTGGCTGCTACTATTAGTGGAAAAGAATGCAAAATTACTTTAAGGAGTCAAATGTACTTTAAGACCGTTTAGAATGGTAATTTTATGTATTTTTATTTGTAATGTTCAGGTTAATGGAGATGGACGATATAAAAATTGGTGTTGTTGAAAGCGTTTCAGCAAGTGATTTCAGTTGTATTGAATTTGTCTTGCCTAATTTATTTTCTCAATTGAGGTTAAGATACAAACAAAAGAGTATTAAGATTGATAAAATATTCCCTCCTTTGCGCACCTAATGCCAGTGGGTTAGTCAGAGTAAATGTTTATGATCGGAGGTTAGATGGTAATGACAGTCTGCATGCGTGGTTTCTTTTCCCTGTGGATTGTCAATGCGAGTTAGTCTATTATGAGAATGGTTATTGCTCAATTAATGACAAACAAGTGCCATGGATAGTGAAGTATCGACTTGAAAATTCGAATATTAAAAGGGGGATTATGTACTGTAAAATGAAGGGGTATCTGAAGTATTCTACGAGTGACATGCCAGAAGATTTTTCAAATGAGGGCCCCCTCTATTGTCATGTTATCTAAAAAATATACTAATGAAAATGTTGATATTTGGTATTGTCCTCCAACTAAGGCCATTCCGATTATGACACGGACTAAGTCTGTGGGTTTACCAGAGAGGCAAAAAGATTTGTTATTAGGAGGTTTTGGGGAAAGTGGTTCAGTTATTCATGAACGCAGAAGTCGTCTGAGATTGATGTACGCAGAGGTGGTGATGACCCTAGTGATGTTGATCCTGGTCTATCGATTTCGGAGATTGGTGTTAGCAAAGAAGAAGTTGATCGTAGAGAACCAATTGTTATAGACCCCACAGAATTTTCTAATGTTTTACGAAATGTAATCATTAGTGTAAAAAATAGTGATGTGACTCAAGATGTAATAGTTGATGATAAGGAAAATGTAATAAGTAAATAAAATTTTGAGTGGTTTCATAAATAAAATTAATAAAATTTTTAATTAATCATGACAATGGTAACATAAATATCAAACAATTCTCTCATTTTTTGGGACATTGCATCTAACCAACTACTGTCCTCATTAGTTAATATAATATATGAAATTTCTTCTCTAATAGTGAGATCTAGTTGAAATTTTACAAATACATGAAAATCTCTCTGGCAACCTACTAAATTCTTTATTAATTCGGTAGGGACCGTCCATTGATGTACTTTGGGACACGTGTATGGATAAGATTAAAAAGAAGTCACATATGGGCCCAAGTGTGACTGGTGTGAATACTTTTGATTCCCTTGCCAGATAGTGCTATATACGTGTCTCGTTTCTGGTAGTTTGCGTGGCTGTAAAGATAAGATGCTGTTAGAATAAGTGACAGAAAGCAAAGGCGGAAAAATAAATGTGTTTGAATTATTTTGAATGGGGTATCTTCGTACTTACACGCGGGCCAATTTTTCCATATATTTGGTACCAGAAAACATTTTATGGTAGAGAGGAATATGCTTTTGCAGTGGGATAGCTATTGTGGTGACGTTGTTTTCTAATACCTTGTTTCGTTCCTCCTTTTCTTTTTGTCCTTTTTGTTAATTTATTTGGTATACAATGCTGTACTCCTTAGAAGAGTATCTCGAGAATTACGGGCAGTTCACTCAAATGTGTGTAGATCGCTTTTTGACATGGCAAATAGGACTATGGGCAGAGAGCCGGTGGTCAGCTCCAGCGAAGTTTGTTCGGGTGTACGAGGAACAGAGGGCAAATATATCAAAGCTAAGGTGTCTGAACAGAAGGGTTAGCAGAGATAAGAGAATCTGTAGAATTTGTAGGATAAAAGATTTGGAGTGTTTTATAAAAAAAATAGAAGGAATAGAAAGTAGCCAATATCGGACCCCTCTTGCGAACCGAAGGTCAAGGACATCGGCAGCCAGTGGATATAAGCGGAGTTACTGTGGTCATGTACCTTTTAAGGCGGCGTACATTCGCCGACAGTACGTTCAGAATATTCTCCGATATATTAAGAAGACTAAGAGAGGAGTAACGAAATTACAACTGTACAATGAACAATTAAGTGACGTTAAATTTGTTAATAAAGGTGTGACGAGATTACTTAATGGTATTGAGTTGGGTAATAAGAGATATGACCGCCAATCAGACAAGATCGTAGTTAAGGGTATAAAATTAATTGGGACAAGAAGCTAAAGACGAAGCTGTGGTCCACCACGTTTTGTTTTTCGTCATAAGTGATAATAGTCCGTCAGATTCCATCTCCACACCTGACAAGATATTTATTAGAGTTGGCAAGGGTAATCCTGAGACCTGGATTGTTGATCTTGACCAGTCTAACCAGTTTTGGATGCCAAAGAAAATGAGATTCAAGCTCACTGGGGGTAAGGACAAAGAATACGTGCGTCACGGGATAGAAGTTGTGGACCGGTTTTTCCCAGTTGATGTTTGGACGGACTATAAGGATACGCTGTTGGGGAATGTTGGAAGTATTCAAAATGGTGCCTTATATTTAGTGGCTGCTACTGTTAGTGGAAAAGAATGCAAAATTACTTTAAGGAGTCAAATATACTTTAAGACTGTTTAGAATTGTAATTTTATGTATTTTTATTTGTAATGTTCAGGTTAATGGAGGTGGACGATATAAAAACCGGTGTTGTTGAAAGTGTTTCAGCAAGTGATTTTAGTTGTGAGAGGGTAATTTTTGGGAAAAATTGGGCCGAGCTGTGAGATAGACTTTATGGCCCAAAGTACGAAGGACAAGATAGAAAGGCCCAATAGAAATGTAAAAGTTACTCCGGCCCAGGTGAGGTAAAATTACTTCGGTGCAATAAGAAGTAAAGCTACTCTGGTCCGGGCAACTTGGAGTTAGGTCGGTCCCAGTAATAGTCCGGTTGAGACGTATTGAGGTTAGAACGGCCAAAACACTGCTACTCGGTAGCTCGGTCTTGGAGTTGTGCCGGTCGCAATTTGTTAGTTCGGTCCAGTCGTGTTATGGGTTGAGCAGAGGAGAACCGAGATGAGGAGTAAAAGCAGAACCGAACTAAGAATAGTTCGGCCTAGTCAGTGGCTCTGCATAGCCAAGCTTATTTCGGTCATATCGTAGTTCGGCCAAAGTAAAAACCATCCCACTTGGTTAAGCAGTGGGGGGTGTAAAAGGATAAGCATTATCCTTAGGAGTATGAATCCTAGGAGGACTCTGCATGGAGGAATAAGAGTCCTACTAGGATTGTGCCACACGAAACTTTAAAAAGCTCACAAAACATCACCTTGGGGAGGTAGAGAACACAACACACAATTTTACTTTCTGAAAACATAGAGCTTTGTCTATTTGTCAAGTTTACTGACTTAGGCATCGGAGAGGTTTCCGGCACGACACCCTGCCGGCTAGCTCACGTTTATATTTTCAGGTGGACAAAGCGACGTCGTACGGAGGAGTGTGGACTGGTTCAACAAGATTATACGAGGAGAATATATTTCTTCCCCGTACACTATTGGGCCGGCTGTGGGAAGAACAGACAAGAAACAAAAACCTCTTGACTATAGCTTCTCCTTTCTC